CCCTTTCCTTGAAGTTTGATGGCTCACTGAAGCCACAAAAGTCCCCAAGCTGTTGGTGTAGGCAGGTTTCTTCCTACTGCTCTATAAGCACTTAAGAAAGACAACTTGTCTTAACATCAGAGAGGATGCATATGAACAAGTTAAAAAGAAAACAACTTCGGTTGTATCCATCGTAGGCAAAACTGTGAGATTTTGTTTTTCTTTCTTTGAATTAAAATAAGAAAAAGTTTTTTCTCATTCTTTTCATTTTAAAGCCTAAAATATTTATATTGGGGGAAAATTACAGCACTCATTTCTGAAGACTCATACTCCAGGATGTCAGAATGTCTGACAGTCTGAAGCATCTGCAAAGTGCTTTGCAGTTTCCAATGCCTTCATAACCACCAAGGGATTGTGACACAGCCATACTTAACGGCCTGGGAGTTAGATAATGACAATTCAGTCTGCAGGTCCAATCCCCGCCTCAAGCTTTAAAAATAGGACCTCAAAATCACTTCTGCCTGTAAAACTCAGTATCACAGATTTTGCAAATAAATAGTTTGTAAATTATCCTTAGAGTACAAACTAATGGAATAATTTTGCAGTTACTAGTACTTAGTTGTCATGAATTTTCCTTAAATTTTGCAAAAAGTGAATATATTTTTATGTGATAGCCTGTCTGGTGGCTTTTAAGGCATTTCACTAAGCATCATGTGTTGTCTTGCGGTGTAGCCCTGCCCGACTGTGACTAGCAGACATGCTGATGGCACACTTTGGAGCATATGGGTCAAGGTCAAGCTCCCTGGGCTTTGAGTCTGGGTTCCCCCACTTACTGACTGTGTAACCCTGGTGGGTCCTAAGCTCCCTGGGCCTGTTTGCTTATCTACAGGATGGTGGTAATAATAGAACTTACCTGTAGGATTGCTGTGACTGTGAAGTAAGTAATGCCTGAGCTAGCCCTGCATGTCAGTTGACTGTTACCTAGGGAAGTTGGGTGATCTGCACAAGAGCAAATCAGCAAAAAGAAGAGCCAGAACTTGAATATAGGCCTTCAGATCTCCTTGAGGTCTGGTACTATTCAAAAGTAAAGTCAGTTCCTTCTCCTAGCTACAAAAGTGCCACAAAATAGTGCACTCCTTTCCATCATGTAAAAGAAAACTTTTGAGTTAGTGTTGAACTTTTTTTCTCAAGGTTTTATTTTGTTTGGGGAGGGTGGACTCTATGCACTTATATGATTATCTGCAGCACAGCCCTAAAGGCCCACAAAACCTGGAGAGTCCTTGAATTTTCATCACCTTCAAAGAAGCAGTCCCCAAATTAGCAGAAATTCCTAGAGGATGGCTGCATCTTGGCAGCTGCCGTGTTGGGTTCATGTTCTCTGTGCTTTCTCCCCAAGTTTTCATTTCACAATCTGTTCTTGTTGCACCGTTCTTTCTCTTCCTTTCTTCTAAACACTCTGCATTGGGCACCCGGGGGAGGGGCACTTGCCTATAAAGCTGTGTGAGATGGCACAGATTGCACAGAGGCCGTCGGGGGCTGAGCATGGGGAACTTGAGACACCATGGGAGTAAGAAGTTTCCTGTGAATAAAAGTGAAAATTGGACATTCAGGTACTGGAGGAGCTCTCAGGGCCCTCATTTCAGGGTGCTTTCCCTTCTACCAAGGTCAGTATCAGTAGAAGTCTTTTAAAATTGTACACATTTAAATTACCCTCCTCATAAAATGTTCTTGTTCTCTGAGAACTGCATAACAGTATTTCTTTCTGTTGAGATTCATGAGCTTTCAAGGGTGAGGAGGCAGAAAGGATGACTGCACTATGGCATAGTTTAAATTAAATTCTTACCTCCAGTTGGAGATTCTATTTTTGTTATCTTCAATTTGAAAATTATATTTATATCATGCAGAAGGCTTCTATACCCCCCCCTTTTTGGTACTGGGGCTCAAACTCATGATCTTGCACATGTCAGGCAGGCACTTAAGCCACTGAGCTAAAAAAAAAAAAAAAAAAAAAAAAAAAACCATCCTCATTTATACTCTTTAAAAAATTAGTTTTGTAAAGGTTACAAAACATTTAACATAAATGAAAATTTAGTTTCAGAGTATAAAACACAGTTTTATTATATATTTATATATACTTTTCATATTTATCTCAAATACCCAAAAATAAATACAGGGGTTGGGATACAAAAGCCTAGTGTTATCAGGTTATAAATTAAGAGCTCAAAGGTGTTGTGTAACAGAAGCAGGTATGAATTTGTTGTACTTTTATTCTTCAGCTGCTTTTAAGTACCTCATTTCACAAACTCAATTCTCTTCATGATTCTGGTCACAAACCAAACTGGACCAGAACTGAATCAAATTGCCCCATAAAGTCAACATTGAACCTAAACATTGAATCTGATTTGGTTCGTGTCCTACTTATGCCGGGCATGGTGGCACCCCTGTAAATCTAGCACATGAGAGGCTGAGGCAGGAAGGTCACAAGTTTATGTCTTGCCTGGGAAATTTAGTGAGACCCTGCTGTAGAACTTGGAAAAAACAGCTAGATGTTTAGTTCAGTTCTAAGGCTCTGGATTTAATCCTCAGTACCAGACCTGCCCCCCCATGAACTCTTCCACCTCATCCTCCCCAGCCAAGAGGAAAATACACTGACAAGCAGCAATAAAGGACAGGTTTTATAAAAGCCGCCCCTTTAGCAAATATCTGGTAGTTTTTTTGGAAAATGACCTCTGTCATTGAAACTATTTCGTTATGGTGAAATAAAACCAATGTTTTATACTCATTTTTCCCAATGGTGAGAAATTCCTGCTCTTTCTGTGACATAAATGATGAGTTTAGCCGGAGATTTAGCTCCGCAGCTCATGCACTTGCCTAATAATTGCGAGGTTGTGAGTTCAAGCCCCAGTACCCAAAAGCAAAACAAACAAAACAATATAATAATAATGAGTTTAAGTAAAAGCAAGAGGAACACCTTACTGGCCAGTTTCCAAGGGCACCTTGGTGTGCACTCTATGTGGGCTGTTCTGTTAGTGTGACCATATCTTGGGAACAGATATTCTGCCCTGTCACAGACAGACCTGAAGAAGCGCTTTCTTCTTACTACCTCAAGGAATAGTAATAGCAGCTGTATTTTTGAGTGTCTGGGAGAGGAGATGATTTCCATATTTGAAATCTGAAGACAGACAAAGTCAACTTTCTCTTTGCTGGAAGGGTTAATGCTCTGACCAGCTTCACATCAGTTCCCTGGAATCTTAAAATTACTTTTCTAGTCACGTGCACAGAAGGTCTAAGCATTTGTGAAATGTCTTTTATTTTTTCCTCCTCCCAATGCTGTTCTCTTGGGCTGTCTTAATTACACAGGGGTTAAGAAACCAAATTAAAACTAGGCGTGTCTGGTAAACAGTGATCACGTTGCAAGCTTTTAGCTTTGCTCGCAAGTTGCTTCTCCTCCCAGAGTAGCTTTCTTTTCTCTCTACTGGCTTGGTTTTTTTTTTTTTTTTTTTTTTTTTTCTTAATAAGGAAATAGCATAAGGTCTTTTGGAAATACTCACAGGAAGTGGGTCTCCATATGCTGGTTACTCACCAGCCACTGAGCGATGACAGGTGGAGAATGCTGCTACCGCCCTTTGGATTTATGACAGTGGCCCTCAGAGCAGGGGACTCAAGGCAGTGTGGCGACTGAGAAGGTTTTTTCTTCTGAGGGAACTACAAGAGAAAACTGGTCACTTCGTGTCATTTCCAGGGAGGAGGACGTAGGGAGCTGCGATGGGGTCAGCAAGGCGCGTGGCGGCTGTGTCTGAGGTTTCTGTCCACTTCTCAGAGAGCAGGCTGTCTCCCCCAAATTAATGCTCTCTTCTCCTCCAACAATGATTCTTCTGGAGTGAATCACTTCCAGAAATGAATAGCCACATTTTTGGGGAATGAGAATTGTGAAATCCCTCATTATAATGGCAGGTTTTCAGTTGGTGGTTCGATCACACAGAATTTCTCAAGATCAAAATGAAACCTTGTCTTTAAAAAGAAAGAAAGTACTGTCGATACAGAAAGCAAAAGTATTTCCAGTCGCCTCGTGAAGAACTGTCACAGCAGATCTCTCTACTTCTACATAGAGCCGTATGTTCCTATATTGCCTGCATGAGTGAGTTCTTGGGATTATGGATTCATTGCCAATAGCTGGTGATTTCCTATGTGGAAGGTTGCTAACTATAAGAAATGTTATCCTCAGTGAGTAGGTGATAGTTTCTGAAGATTACTGCTAAACTAATACTCATCGTCTTGAGTCATGGATTTAAGACTGCTAGCAAGTTTTTACACACTTCTGCTTTATATAACACAGTGCCTGGAACTGCGGGACCGTAGAAGACCCCGAGAGGTTTTTAAGGACATGGATTGAGTAATCATTGAATCTTTCGACTACTGTATCTTTTGAGGAGGAAAAGGTATTTTACAGGAGGAAGTGGTTTATCAGGGGCTTTTAGAAGAGTGGTTACTGCTTTTCTATATTTATTTTAAACATCACTTCATCTTCTTGTGTGAAGGAAGTGAATGTATACCTAGTTTCCACGGAGAAAAAGTTGTGCTGACTCTCTTTAAGGGGAAAACTTAATTTTACATGTCACATCTAAATGGAATTTTTTTTCTCCTAAGGGGGAGCAATGCATTCCCTGAAAAGACTTAACTTTCTGACATTATCCACAATGAGTATCCTTTAGGTGCTGGTGGTTTCTTGGGAATTACTGGGTGCACTTTGATCCAGGGGCAGAGAAGGAAAGGAGGGTTACTGGAAACAGGGAGTGTAGTTGAAAGAGTTGTGCTCTCTCCAGAGTTGGTAAGTTGTTTGACCTACTGACTCATTTCATAGGAATTAGGAAAACAACCTAGTGTGGTTTTTATTGTTAGTGCTGAAGGATTCCAAAATCGGTGTGCCTGCAATTAAAATGGGCTGGAGAAAGGTAGCATTGGCAACTAGGTATTTTTTTCTATGGCTTGTCCTTTTAATGGAATCCATCCTCTGCTTCTAGGATGCATCCAGCCTGCGCTTGGAGATTCTCTGATGGCTATTCAACCGTGAGTACATAGGACAGAAATTTCTGCTGTTTACTAGTTCTTGTTTCTTAATTCCAAATGGCATTTTGTCTAAGGGAAGCTTTGAGGAGATTCCTCCTGCCCCCAGTGTATTTATAATACATAACATGTTTGCTACTAGAAAATACTCTGGCTACAATAGTAATTATATAAGGTATCATAACCTATATAAGATTGTGAACATTAAGAATTAAAGTTTATTTTGATAAATACTTTTTGAGGCACATTGATATGACAACTTGAGTTTTGATTTACTGAATGATTTTTAGTAAAGTTACTTAAAACACAAGTAGGAAAGATATCCACATACTAGCAGAAATCATAATTACAGTTAATGAAAGTCATATGTTTAGTAAGGTAATAGATAATGTAATTCATAGTGTTTTGCTTTTCCACCAAAGTTAGCAAATATGCTTCAGAAGAGGACAAAGAAAGTACATTGAATTTGGATAAAAATAGAAACTGAGAAAAAATATTTGAAAAAGGGTATTGCCTCTGTGTAACGTCACATATCCTGGAAAACCATCCCTATGTATCACACCCTCTAATTTTGTTTTTTCTTAATGTAAAAGATACTTGATATATAATTACTATAGAATTTCTCATTCTCTTGCAAGGCGACTGAGTAAAAGGTTGGGTCTCTCACTCTGATGCTATTTATTCAGTTACTTTGTTACATCTGAATGTCTTTGAATTGGCTGTCTTAACCTATTTAGGGTGCTAGAGCTTTTTGAGATTACAGTGGAAACCATGGATCCTTTTACCACACTCCTGCACAACATTTGCCTTCATTTTGGGGGCACTCAACCAGCCCAGTGAAGCTCCCTCAGTGCTCTGGCTAAAGAAAGTCAACCTGGACTGAGACCTAATTTTACTGTTCTTAAGCTTCCTAGAGTGCTGGTATTAAGAGGGGAAGCATCCAGGTCAAAAGAAGTCATTCTCTGGTTGTTAGGGGTAGGTACAAAGCCAGAGAAAAGGACAAAAGGTAGAGAAAATACATAAATAGTGCTAAATAAATACCGAAAATGGTTAATACTATCAGAAACTCCAAATCAATAGTCCACAATCCTTCAGCGTTTAATCACACATACAGTAGTCATAAAGGGATTGTGAGTTCAGGGAGAAAGTTACAGACCTGCGGGAGCCACTGGAAGTTTTTCTCAGACCCTATTTTTGCCGAAGCCTTTTGCACAACATAAAACTGTGAAATCACTTTCATTTTGCTTTTCCGTTGTGTGTTTTACCAAATTGGATAGGACTGCAGATCATTCGAACTTCTGACGTACAATTCATAATAATTACAACAAACTGGAAAAATGATTCTGCTTTAGCACAAGAAATTTGGCGACAGACTTTATAAGAGGTGATTAATTCAAAAGAAACATTGGTTTTAAAAAATACCTATATAGTTTTTATTGCTCATCAACTATAAATACAAGTCAGTACTGTGAGGCTGTTACAGAAAAAAAAATAGACACGATTCTTGAGTATATTAAATGCGAATGACATAAAATGGTCAGAAAATAAGATGTTAGTCAGACTCATTCTCTCCAATTTGAATCACAATTGAAAAGAACATGTTGGGCAACTGTATGCAGCAACAGAAATCACATACCCTTCTAGGAAAAGATAAAGTAACTGAGGGTTTTAGTCTGAAAAGGGCTGGAGGATTCCTTGCAGATGGTCTTTAACTAGTTAACTGCCTGATTTGTCCTTACATCCCTGGGTTCTACTGAGTGCCTGTGTTCAGTAACTCGGAAAACTTTCAGGGACCATTGCGTTTAGAAATGTTAGTAATGATTTTGTGATACACTCACCAGAAGTAAAATAGATTCAGATACAACTAAAGAGATACTATCATGACAGAAAGAATACAATTAATAAATTTGCTGGCTGATTAATAGATAAGGATTATCTCAGTTGCCAGAATGATAAAGTAGTTGAGTGACTAGCTAAGGGAAATTACGAAATCTGCTTAATCTGTCTTACAAGAGAATGGGTAACACTGTTTTAGAGGGCAGAAAACATTTGTGTATTAATTTTCTCACAAACTTTGAGGGGCTTATTCTCTGCTAGGTCCTGGTAGAGGAAGGATAGATACAGAACCAGAATCACAATGTGAGGTTAGTGATCTGGGACATAAAATCAGCATATGATAGGGGCTTGCAAATGTGAGTCACCCCACCTGGCTTGGTGCTGTGTGAATGGCCTCTCAAAGGACCCCTTTGAGGCGAGCTAGTTGAAGAAGCCTTGCATAGCATGGAGTCCAGAGAGAAGGAGCAGAGTGTACAGGGTGGTCAGCTGGGTGGGTCAGTGGGACATGGGAAAGGAGTGGGGAGAGCGGGAGCTGGCAGAGAGCATTAACACGAGTCTGATGTCCCTGCCATGGTTGCCTAAGATTTCTACCCAGGAGGGTGACAAAGTCAAACGTATACTTTAGAAAGACCATTAGAGCTACAGTAAAGACAGGGTTTCAGGGTAGGTCAGGCAAAACGAGGCGACCAGATGAAAAGTTTGGATCATAATCTAGCAGGGCAGTGCTGACTCCAGTAGTAACAGATTCTAGACAGAGTGGGGAGGCAGTGGCTGCCAGGGGTGTCACCCATCACCACATGCGAAGCCAGAGGAGATAGGAGCTTGTGCAGAAGACAGCGTTAGAGTACACCTTGGCAAGGCGGGATGTGAGAGAGGCAGGGCAAGTGAGAAGTCAGTTTAAGTAGATGTGGTTTTAAAAATTTGATTTAACGACAGCCATTCCAAGGGTGGTCTTGATTTGGTGAAGACCTGTTTCCAGTGTTTGAAGTATTTTTAAATTTTTTTCTAAAATTATTTGTAATGGAACATTTATTTTTACTATATATATACACATATATATATATGTGTATATATATATATTTAAGATTTCTAATACATTTTGACATACGTACATCTATTTACTAATGTGTGTAAGTGCAGGTAAAATCTCTCGTAAGGAAATTCCCAATATGCAGTACAGAATTAGTTGGTATCCTCATGCTGCTCTTTCCGTTTATTCACCCACATCACTGAAACTCTGTACCCTTGGCCCTGCATTCTCCCGTCCCCCACAGCCACCATTAACTCTGTTTCTAGGTTTCTGACTTTTAGACTTCATATATAAAGAAGAAATAACATTCTCTCAGTTATTGTTATATATTAATATTTTTATACACACACACAAGTTGCAGAAGGAGCAGCATTCTATGTAGGCATTTTTGTATCCAGTTTTCAATTAACATTTTGGTATTTGGAGACAAGATCTCTTTATGTACCCAAATTGACCTCAAACTTGTGATCCTCTTGTTTCTGCCTCCTGAGTGCTGGGATTTCAGGTGGGCACCACCACACTTGACTTTATATTCCTTTCTCTTTTTTTGTATTGGGGATCAAACTCATGACCTTGGACTTGCTAGGCAGGCACTTATGCCACTGAACTGTATATCCCCACTCCCTATATTCCACTTTTTAAACAAACATTTTCTCCATATTCTTAAAATGACTGAAAAGCATTTGTAATGGTGCATTATACTCACTAATTTGGGAGTGTTAATGTTTCCATTTTTAAAAATATCTTTATAGTAACATATTATCCTTTTAAGTACATAAATGTTAAGCATTTGTTTTTTTATTCCCTTGTCATAGATTCTTTCTGTTTAACAATGTGTATAATGTGAAAAGTATGAAATGTCCTTTTTAGCCATCTCTTTATCATCACTATTATCTTTTTTTAGTCGTTACACAAAAATGCCACATTATTTTTAGCTCAGTTATTGAGCAGCTATTTAATGAATGCCCTCTTGGGTTAGGCTTGTGGTATTTTAAAATTTCTATGAGTAAAGTATAACTTTTTTCATGTGTTTATGAATCTACTGTTTTCTTTTTTAAATGCTGTGTCCATGTTCATTTATCAGATTTTTCTACTAGAGTATGATTATTTAATACTATTTGTAAGAGTATGTATATGTATATAAGATACTTGGACCATGTACTCTTAACAGCGTCTTTGACTTTTTATTTATGACTTCTTGAGATCTAGAACCTTTAGATTTCTTTGTTCAGTAAGTGATTTTCTACCTATGGCCCAAACCTCTTACCATGGACTTAGGAATTTCTTCATAAGTTAAATAATATTCATCTAATTTAAAAAACTTTATTTTTTGCATTAAATTCACCAAATTAAAAGGAAATCTGAAACAAAAACCCAAAAGGGTTTTTTTTTTTTTTTCCGTATAATAAATCCCCCACCAATGAATACTGAGTCACTGGTCTTTCCCCAGGTAATTTTTGTTACTTCCTTTATTTTCTGTTCTAATACCTTGTACAGTAATGTTAACCCAGCTGTAGGCAGTCATTAATTGCTACGTATGTCACACTTTCCCAGATACTTTATTATGAAAAATTTCAGGTATGCAGTCAAGGTAAATGAATTTTATATTGATAGACAGATAGATGGATCAATGTTGGATTCCACAATTTAGTTTTTCTTTACTGTCTATTTATGTAATAATTTCTCACCCTCTTTAATGTTTGAATTCCAGAATATAATATTAAAAACATTTTCCCTGTTCAATTTTTTACATACCTAGGTTTGATTTCTGGGAAATTTTTAGATTATTATTACAATGAGATTATGAACAACACAGTATTTACCAAGACAAACTACTGTCAAAAATATGTTTTAGTTATTTTAACTCTATGGTTTGTTACTTAAGGATTTATGAATTTTGCTCACATAAGATGAATTTTTTTTCTAACAGATCAGTTAACGGCACTGTAGTTAACATTACATTTACTTTTTATTGTCATGGCAGGAACTAAGAAGTACCTTTGGGAAAGGACTAAAAAGGCCTAAGAGGCTTGGAGATGTTGAGTTGCAGGTTTGGCCAGAACTGGCAAGTGGGCTGCCTGAGCCACAGAGCCCCCTCTAGGAGTGGGCATTGAAAGAAGCCTTTGTCACAATCAGGCCACTTTCTGAGTGTTTGAAGGCTGCTTGGCCAGTACAGCCTACCACCCCTAACTAGTCCTGCTGATGTCTGTCTTCTCATGTCCCTGGTTCACAATGAGGGACACGTCACATTCACCTTAGATCAGGGAGCTTCGCTACTACTTTCCAGCCTAAGTTCCATGGAAACTTTTGAAGTCTGATAGCATACTAGCTTAGAGATGGGCCCTGTCCATTAATGACCCACCACAATCTCCCTTAGTGTAGCATACAGTTAGCCAGATGGGAAAATGCCCCAACTTGCACTGAAGAGCACACCTTCAGTCCCTGCAGGAACTTCAGCCGTGGTTTAAAGTTTGTACTGTTTTTTTCCCCATAAAAGCTTCAATTTCCTATCTGTAAAATATGTTGGCTTTTATCACATTACATAGATTATTATTATTTTCTTTCTCCATATCTATGATTTTAATCTAGAACACTAAATGTAGGTCATTGTCCATCCCTTTCTCAGAAATCTGGGAAGGTGACTTTTTTTCTGCTTCTCTGAATAATGTTTCCAGGGTATTTCAACACTGATGATCTCCAGACTCAGGATCTCTAGGGTTAGACTTTTACAGCCCTTAGATAGGGCCCCAGTGAAAGGAATGGGAAAGCATGTGTGAGGTCGGCCTGGGGAGAGTCTTGCTGGCAGGAAGCTTGGGGGGGGACTGGACCCTTACTGCACACATTCCCGCCTTGACCTCAGGGCAACTCACTGAAGTCTGGTGTCACCTCAGTTCTAAATCTTCTGCTGCTTAGTGAATGATGCTGTCACATTTTAGAAGTCTAGCCAATGAGTATTTTAAAATTTAGGGTAATTATACTGAAAAAAAGATTTAATAAAACAATATCAGTGTTCAGAAGAACATTCTGTTTGAAAGAATGCATTTTAGTCAAAAAAAAAAAAAGAGAGAGAATTCTTTTTGGCTTAGTTCCCTTTTGCTTTTGTGCTCCCGGAAGAGTCTACTCATTGCGGCTCGGACCTACTCACATGCTGCCTGCCTTTCAGATGCAGCCCTCTGAGCTTCACCATGCTGTCCGCCTCCCCAGTGGGCAGCCGGCCCAAAGGTCTCCATTCTATGCATGTTTCCCAGCCCAGGGCTTCCTGTGACTTTCCAAAGATGCCGCAAGAATCGAGTTTATTTGGCTTTAAATTCACCAGGAGCAAGAGAGGACAGATACAAAAGTATTACTCTAACCTATGATTTTCTCTACTGTTAAAGTATAAAGAAGACTGCTGTAAGAACCTCCTCTTTCCACCACTCATCACCATGGTATGCAGAGAGTTTATGAATCATCTTCTAAGTCTGAAACTAGTTTTAAATTTTAGCTTCCAGGTTAGATCTTCAGGAAATGAAGTAGTGAGATCATAAGTGCTGTGGAGTGGGTATGAAACTACTTCACCAGATCACGTAATGTTAGCACAGGGAATCCTAAGGAAGATGTCATCAGGAACACTGATTTTTAGTCTGAGCTGTACCTATATGAAACATCTGTCTCCAAAATATTAAAAATGGCAAAAAGATAAAAAGCTTACAAATGAGTTCAGATTAAAACATAAAGTGGAGTTTGGGTATCTCATAGTCAGCAGGGTTATGTAATAGGTTAGTGAAGCAAATACCAGATATTTGAGGTATAGCCTTAAATTTTAAGATGAATTGTGAAGAGAGGGCTGTAATAAAGTATTTTATGTTATTAGTTGCTGGAACTTAAAAAAATCAAAGGTATAGACATAGAGGCCACTGAACCATGTTTTAAATGGATCTTGGATATTTTCCAGTGTGGTGTTTTAGTGTACGTACTTCTTTGTGAGTGCTCTCATGCGAAACTGAAATATCACCATCATGTGATAAAGTGTTGGTTCACTGTGACATAACACGTGCTAATCATGACTAACTCAGAACTCCAGGTCACCAGTTATATTTCCTGTGGCCTCTGTGCTCTTGGGTTAGGGTTAACAGGGATAATTCATTTCTGTGTTCATGTCTCTTGTACTTCTTCCATACAAAGTAGTCAAGAAGAGACCTGATTCAGCACAGGTACAAGAGATTAGTAACAACAGCCTGTGTCTAGGGTGTCATATGCCAGGCACTGTGCCAAGCACTTTATCCTGTCTCTTTTGATAAGAAAGACTGCATGATAGTTGCCATTGTGATAACCATTTCATAATAGGAAGAAATCAAGGGACCTGGAGAAATCATTTCCCGAAGATCACACATCCAGTAAATGGAAGAGGACAAAATTCAAACTACAGCCTTCTAGCCGCTTCACCTAGGCCTTGAATTTGTATCCTGTTCAGTTTTATATCTCATATTTTAGAGGTATTTTATTCTTTGGGGCCATTCTACTTGATTTAGTTCTGTATCTTTTGTGGCGGCTTTAACATAAAAGGGTTTAGTGGAGACATCCCCCATAGATGGGCACTCGATGCCATACCTTGACCTAGATCACTTGGTAATAGCTTACTAATGGTGCCCATTTCCACCACCTGCTCATGTGACTCCAACAAATGCACTGTGACTCTAAGAGAGTATGTTCAAAAAGACAGTTACGCAAACTGTCCCAACCATGAAGGAAAAGAAACTTGGCGTGGCCCATGTTGGTTTCCCACTTTTTCATTATTAGAAATAAATAGGAGCTTATGAGTGTGTCTTCGTGAGTTAAGGTCCCATAATTTAAATGTACTGTCAGACCCCAGAAATCTGTTCTCTTGTGATACCATTGGTGTTTGGTTAACTATGTAACACCTCAGTCCTGGAGAGCTGATTTCCCGTGGGTAAGAGACAAGAGTCCCTCGGTGTTCAGGTCCTTGTGCCTCAGGGCTCCGTCTTCAGTGATCTCTGATCCACCTGATGAAGCTGGTCTTACCCTCTGCCCAGAAGCTGTCCCCTCCATGCCTCTCCTGGCCATCTACTGCTGTCCCTCAGAACATTGTTTCAATGAAACTTCCTTCGAGAAGTGTCTGTGACTCCTCAGGATGGGGCTGAGGTCCCTGGGTGCTTCCGTTGCACACCTAACATACTACATTCTCACTCCCTGGTGGTTTTTGTCCATCTTCCTTGACATGCAGTGGCCTCTTCATAGCCAGGAATTGGGCAGTGTTTACTTTTGAATAAATACATACCAGACAGTAGATTATAAATATTGAATGAAAGAGAGACATGACAGCTTGGTGACAGATAGAAACCCTACAGTGTCTGGGGCCTTCATTTAAATCTCACAGTAACTCTGGGAAGTAGATTTCTTTACCCTGTCAATAGACAGGGAAGCATCAGCTTGTCCCAGTGAGCAATAGAGCCAGGACAAACACTCCGCTCTTCTGACCCTACATGCTACATCCTGATGTGCTGTGTGCCTATTCCCTTAAAATCTTTATGAGAATCTTTCAGAAAAACATCAATTCATCAACAGGACTCCGGGAGAACCATAGATTGCCTGTTTCTCTTTTTCCCTTTCCACCTTCCGGGTTAGCATCCTCCTACCCCCATGCATTTCCAATGAAAGTGTTAAGCAGACACGTGATGGCTCCTTCCCAAGTTTCAAGGTGTCACAGTGAATCTTTCGTGTTTACACCAGCCTGGCTGCTTCCTTTCTTGTGGGTAGAGATTTTCATAAAGTGGGGGCCGTGGGGGTTCAGGTAAAGTGGTTGAGCAAGTGAGTAAGATCAGAGTTGTATTCACAAGTGTGCATTGAGCAGGGTGGAAGGTACGTGCGCCTGGGCAGTGAGAAACTGAGCAAGGGAATGTGCGTGGGTGGCTGGTGTGGTTGGCACAGAAGAGGCCAGAGTGAGGTTGCTGGCTGGGATGGGCTGTGCAATTAAACAGTTGAACAGATCCTATTAACAGAGCAGGGTGGTGTTCACTACAGGCCCGCAGGGAGTAGGGTGGAAGCATCTTTGGACACTCGAGCTGGGTATGGATTTTCATAAGCAAGTAACCTGAAAAATATGGTGTAACTAGAGAGTCCGGGCAGCATTTCCTAAGTGCTAAAAAAAAAATCAGAATATAATACTTGACTGTGCTCTGTTTTAGGGCCCTGTGGCAATGTCTCCATTTATCATAGTCTGTCAGTGGAGTGGCAAGTTCAGGAGGAAGCAGGGATTGCCAGTAAAAGTCATCTTCTCTGGAAATTTCAAAGATCAGAGCAAGTCGATAAGGTCAAGGTAGGCTAACGCTGTCATTCTTCCATTTGTTGAGTACCTGCTGTGTGCCAAGCACTGGTTAGCACCAAGGAGATACAGTCGCGGGGAAGTAGGCATGGTCACTGTCATTATGAGATCCAAGTAAATGCACAGCAAAGCAGCCCAGTGAAAACTGCTAGGAGGAGAAATGTGCACTAGTGGGTGGGGTCCTCCCAGGGGGTGGCTTTGCATCAGCTGAGCGTGAGAATAAATGTGGTGGTGGAGGAACTGGGGAGAGGACACCAGGTGTAAGGAACAGCATGTTTTAAAGGCTGTGGAGTAAGGAATGAGCTCGACTTCTGAGGATCTACACAAAGGCAGGTGGCGGCCTGGAGGCCCACTCCATTTCAGGAGTTTCACAGGATCTCTTACTAAGCCTCTGGGAGGTTTCCAGGCTCTTACCACAGCCCTGCCCCCTAGTGATTGTCCCCCCCTTCCTGTAGATCTCACTTGTTGAGGGTAATAAACAAGGATACAGAGTGAAATTATAGGGAATTTGAAACCAGCTGCTCAGAAATGTGACGGTTATACCTGAGGAACCACTGGAGCCACTTCTAACAGAGGTGACTTGCCCTCTTCTGTATTTCATGCAGGCGAGTGTAGAGAGGCCAGAGAAATGGCATTGGATGAAACAGGATGCTCGGATGAAAGGCATGGGCACTAGGTAGTTCTGTAAGGGAACTCTGCATCATTGGATCCCAGCATTCTGGGGAATGTTACCCACAGAATTAAGCAGAGCTTCTTTCCTTTAGGATTGTCACTGGGGACCTCTCTGCAAGCCACAAGGTGGCTTTACACAGGGACCTGCCATCCCAAGCCCCTTCAGATGCAGACCCCAGGGGCCATGGACCCTGTGGGGATTCCTTCACTCAGGTGGCAGTGCCTCTTTGTGGAAGCCCCATACCAAGTCCTTCTCCATTTGCTTTTGTGCCTCAAGGCTCTTGATTTTCCGTGTTCCCTTCTAAGTTCTCTCCCTTTACTTTAGCAGCAGTAAGCTCCAAACTTGGAAGTGGGAGCAGTGGAAGGAAGAGGCCCAGCAGTGTTGTGTCAACACTGGTTCTGGGTGTCTAATCTTTTACTACCTGTAGGGACAGGTGGCTGCAGCAGAGTGCTGGCAGGGAAGGCTGAGATTTTTTCAAGGTTACAGATTGTGCAATAGTGTTTAGAGTATTTTTGAAGCTGCAGGAGGAGTTCACAGCTTGCAAAAGTTTCCCCTTACCAAGCTGTGTGTGTGTGTGTGTGTGTGTGTGTGTGTGTGTGTGTGTGTGTGTGTGTTTTCCTTTATGCCCCTTTGGTGTTGAATCCAGGACCTCACATGTGCTAGGCAAAAACTCTGCTACTGAGCTATATCTCCCCCTCACCTTTTTTGGTACCAGGGATTGAACTCACAACCTTGTGCTTGCCAGGCGCTTGTGCTACTGAGCTATTTCGCTGGCCCCTCCATCCTCTTTTTTTAAAATTTTGAGACAGTGTCTCATGAAGTTGCCCAGGCTGGGCTCAAACTTGTGATAGGGTCTCAGCCTCTGGAATAGGTGGGTGTCACGGGATTTTTGTGCAGACGTTTAGCTATGTCTCAGTGGTTAGTCATATTGCCAATCTGTAGTTTGAATAGTCTTTTTTTTTAAAAAAAGTACTCCTTTCAGAGTTTCCTGAAATTCCAGTCAAAAGCAGTTAACCTTAAACAGCTGTTTTTAAAAAAAATAATATCCCAGTCTGTAACCTTGTACTGACGTCTGAGGAGGAAATGAGAATATTCACTGATGTTCCACTTAAGAAGTAAAGGTCAAGCCAGGCATGGTGGCACGTGTCTGTAATTCAGTCACTCTGGTGGGCTGAGGCAGGAGGATCACAAGTTCAAGCTCAGCCTGGGCAGCTTAGTGAGACCCTATCTCAAAATAAAAAAGGGATGGGGATGCAGGTCCATGTGAAGACCATGTGTTCAATCCCCAGTATAACATGCAAAAACAAAACAAAATAGTGGAGGTAAACAGCAGTTCAATAGGTGATAAGGACAAGGCTTGTGCTGAGCTTGCGTCTAGGACAGTGACCAGACAGATGACAGAATTGAAGGGTATTTTTAGCTCCTCAGGACTGATTTGAAACATTGATTTCTCCACCCCCTCATCATTCCAGGTGGAATTAAAGCATATACTTTAATTCAGTATAAAATATCTGCTATGTTATACTTTAAAATATTCCTGAGAAACGGCTTGTGCTGGTGTGATGGAGAAGTAGCTTTGAAACCCACTGCACATCTGTAGATACAGTGTCCATCATCTCTTCAGTCTGGTGTGTGACATGATTAGAAGTCTCCCAAAGGGCTGGAGTGTAGTACTGAGTGAGCCCAGGGACCAGTCCCTTCCCAGAGCTGTGGCTGCCCCAGAAACCCAGGCTGGCAGAAGTGGTCTGTCCTCTTTGGGGGAATTCAGGCATGCCCAAAGGCTCTGGCTAACAACAGTATGATTTCTAAGGTACTTTTTGGTGCTCCACAAGCACCGTTAATTAAAAACATCTATAAGGCTTTTAATGAACAATTTAAGCAAAATGATAAATGCTAGGGATGCTGCCTAGAATCACTTTGAAGGTGGGAGAGCTTTTGTATATGACAGAAAATGTGTGAATTAATTTCCCCTCAAGGGTTTTACCCCTCTTCGTTCACCTTCTGCATGGTGGCTGGGCAGGCTGTTCTTTTTGACCACCCCTGATGCTGCTTGATACCTTGCTCTGAGCTTCCCCACACTCTGCCCCCAAAACGTGTGTGTGAGTCTGGCAGGTTGCTGGAAACCTCTCTGCTGCAAATCTGCTGGGAGATCAAGCAGCCTGGACCTCCCCCTTCTGGGTTGTGCTGACTCTGGGCACATTAAAATTACATATCTGGGTGGCTCCAGTTTCTTACCTGCAAGGTGGTGGGTATCAGTGCCTCCTACTAGGGCTACTGAGGGATGAAACAAATTGCCTGTGTGAAATGGCCAACCTCTCCAGGACAGACTCCAGGCACTCTGGTCCAGATCATGGACTCTGTTCCTCTCCATCCTCCCTCGTGTGGTTACTTTGACTCTGAATTGTGCGTGATAGATGGTAGCATGTCCTCTAGAGGGCCAGTCAGAGGGAGGGGACAGGCCCCAGAGGGGGAAGTGGGTTCTCTGTGCCCTTTGGACTGTGGAGCCAGCTCAGGCTGTTACCTCTTCATGGCATGTCCTGCGTCCTACCACTTCAGGTGTAGATGGCAGCAGCAGCCCTCTGAACATGCCCTGCAGCTCCCACAGCCGACCTGTGTCAAGGAATGGGGACAAAGAGGCTTCTCGGCTGGCTGTCCCCTGCTCTCAATATAGTCCTAGTTCTTTCTTCAGTGGTTCTGCTTGATGGTGGTGTCTTGCAGGAGCTTTCTCTGCCCAACCTCAGGCTGCTTTTGGCCTTGCTGATGGTTATGCTTCTTGCCCCAGATCCACTGACTTCATTATTTCTCCAGGGGTTTTCTTGGGAGAACAGTGTGTTATGGGGGCAAACAGAGAGTGCTCACGCCTCCTTTGGAATTCTGAGAATGGATGCAGTGATCTGCCCAGGGTGAGGGTGAGCCTATTCTCCCAAGAGGACTCTTAACTCTTCACAGCAATGGCTGTGTGAGGCTGCCACCACGTGGTCAGTGTCAGGCAGTGCGTGTGAAATGCACTGCGTGTGAAAATGGGGTATGATCCACAAATACAGTGGAAGTATGTATTTAAAAACTTTAAATGTATTATAGGAAAAGACATATCACCCCTAATTCTCAGAATATTCTCCCTCATTCAGAAAGTCATCCCATCATTCTTGCCACTTTCTACAACAGTTCTGGAAATCCTCTTTCTTGAGTGTCTTCAAGAGATTATGATCAAAAATAGATAGGACGCTGCTGCTGAGTGCCATCCAAAAGAAAGGCAGGTTCATAAAAACATTTAAGGTGAATCTTCATCTACCGTATTCACAGAATCTAGTACTGTGTAACTTTTGGCTCTTCCCTACATAAAAATTACCAGGGCCAGGGATATAGCTCAGTGGCACAGTGCCTGCCTAAATAAAAATCACCATAAAAGGTAAGCATTTTGTACCAGTTCAGAGCACTGAGGCAGGCATAACAGTGCTACCAAAGACATTCCTGAAAGGCTTTCCAGAACTGCTGCAGAAAGTGGCAAGCATTAGGATGAGTGTTCGAAATAAGGGAGTATTTGAGGGGGGTTGATGGGAATGTGTCTCTCACTGTAATAACCTCTTTAAAAATTTAAACACATCGTATTTCTATCACATCTCACATACTACTTTTACAAGCCTTTTAACAAAGGCCTGTCTTCATGATTGACTATACACATCATTTCCACTCCCAAGGCTTAGTGTTTCTGCTTTGGCATCTCTTTGACCAGAGTGTCTCTGCTTTCCCTGTAAGATTCTCTTCCTGCCTGCAGACTGGTTTTCCTGAAATATAAATTTGACTGTCAGCCACAGAAAGCTTTTGCTTGACCCCTCATGTTGCAGGTTCCGTGTGTCTCCGCAGCTCTCTGGCACTCCCGAGCCGTCCCTACCCCTACTGTAGGCTGCATATGCACTTGCTTTTCTGTCTTCCTGTCTGTTTTTCCTGGCTGATAACAGCTTATCTGAGTCTTCTCAGGTGTTCCTTCCTCCAGGAGCCCCTCTCTAAAGTATCAGCTTCCCTAACCCTACCTAGCTTACTGCCTGCCTGTGTCTGCCTCAGCTCCTTTTGTGGAAGAACAGTTAAGTGGCTGGGAGGAAAGGAGAATTTAATACACTGCATTACAAGAAGTTATTTTTCTTCTTCCACAAGCTGCTTGAGTAGAGATCATCTTCTATTTCCCAGTCCCCATGTGACAGCACCGCATCTGGCATGTGACTGATGCTTACTAATTGTTAGAAGGAATAAAGGGAGGGAGAGTGAAAACAAGGTGAGATTCTTTTCAGTGTGAAGAACTCCAAAAAGTGCTAAGATGAACTCA